TAGTGACTTTCAACAGGGCACAGACTCAAATCATTTCTGAAAATGGGACAGACTCTTAAGTCACATCAGTGCTTGTGAAAATTTTACTCCCAATTTAAACTGTCAGAGCACGTTAGATCAAGGAAAGCAGAAGGGCAGAGAGCTCAGAATCTTTGAGGGACAGAGGAAACCATTCTTTTTAGGGACAGCAATAAAAATGTCCCATAAGCTTCAGACCATGATAGAATGAAGGAAAAACATAGAATGAAATTGAAAGGCGAATGTGGCTTTATTTAGTGAAAATGAGATTTAAGAGAGAATTTTCAATGTAAAAATGATCATCACCCCTTGGAAAGCCTCCCCGAGATCGGGGCAAGAGGATAGAAGAGAAAGTGTTTCCTAGAACTCCTATAAGCACTCTACTGTGGTGATAGGGAACAGATCCTCAATGGTCAAATATTGTACATAAAGAGGATCGCATACTCAGTTCAGACATGCCAGAAATCAAAATCTTTCCTTCGTTACAATCTCAACAAGCGTGTACCACATATATAATATACTGCATATATAACACAGAATGATGAATACATATAAAGCAGCATAAACCAAACTATTATTCATTCTCAATAGTGTAATATTTATGGATTATTAAACAAAATTATATTTACTTAAAAATATAAAACCTCCATTGTATAAATCTGGAATTAGATTGGGTGTTGTAAAATGTTGTAAAAAACCTCCTCCAGTGAGGCATTGTATTATACTTCAGTACAGAAAAGATATTAAGCAGATTTGGGATGTGATAATTCACAAGCAGAGATCTGGTATGTCACATTTTAGCAAGGGGGATTTTTTACAACCAGGTCAAATGTCGGGGGGAGGAGGAGATGAAGGAGGAGGAAGGTTTATAGCAGAAATGCTGAAAGGTCCTGAACTAGAAGGTGCTGCTATAATAAAAGATTGCTCTAATAAATGAAATAGCTAAGATTTTATACTAAATGTCAGAGGAAAGGCATAAGAGCCAAGAGCTCTGAAGCTGTTCAAGCAGATGTCCTGACTGGAAAAGCTCCATTTCTCACGAAAGATGCAACGCCTTAGCTACCAAACCTTGACTGTTGAGAATTTCCTCCCCTGGCTTCCACAGTAGCATGACATCAATGTCTGTTTTACTATTTTTTTTCTCTCTCTATCTTTCACAATAAAAAACAAACATGCTTTAAATACTCATCCACCACTGAAGGACTTCAAAATACTAGGTATAATAAATCTGTAACCGTCCTTCAATGAATATGCTAAGTAATGTGGGATGGCAAAAAAAAAAAAAGATCTGTACAAATGAAATGCTTCTTTCCTTCATTTGCTACAACCTGCAGGTTGACTGAATTCCCTGATGACTAAACCAGAAACCTGCTACTTTTCAGTACATTACCACCACCTTACTTTAGTCTACAATGTAATCTGTAGGATTTTATTTCTTTAAACTTTATCTCTTGTGCATATTTCTGAAAATACTAGCAGCATAAATTATAGCTATTGTTTTTTAGTAATGTTTGGGAAATGTCCATCATGGCCTGTATAGAAACCTGACCATTCAGATGCTTCTGTGAAACTTTACATACTTTCTCTAATTTGGAAACTGGACTTAATCTCTCAGCATAGATATATCTGCTTCCTACATTATATCACATCCATCAAGCTTGGATATGTTCATAAATGCCAAGTTTAGCAGAACATTGTCCATAAAATAAAGAGTCACTGTCAATTGTTCAACACAAACTCATTTTCAAAAAAAATACTTTGATAACAGTAACATGAAACCCAGTTAGAAGAACTGCATTACACTACCGCTGAGCCGAAGTCGGCTGTCAGAGGTGCATGCAGCCACGTTGAGTCAGTGGGAGCCATGCATATGCAGCAAAGCACAAAATCTGGATCATAATGGTCCAAATCCTCTGGCCTGTAAAAGGACCACACCAGCCTCACAGTTAGAAAAACTGATCCTGTTCTGCTATGTGGGGCACATCCTTTCTCTCCTTTCTCCATCAGTGACAGCTCTCTCTACAACAGAAAGATTTGAGGATACTGAAGCATGGAATGGAGCATTCTCCCAGTTCCTACAGAGAACCCCTTTGTATACAGGCCCTCTTATGGGTGTTCTGGTTTCAGACCTGATGGTGACTTTGGCATGGCAATAATACCAATAGAGCTATTCCTCTATATTTTTGCACAGACCTCATCACATGCAACGTTCACTTTAACAGATGCTTGCTTGGGTTATTTACCCAAATAAATGATCAAAATACGGATAATTTATTTTCTAGTTTTATGGTTAAAGAAACAAAGCATGTTAAAATAAGTCATTTTCTGTGCATAAATGCTAGAGCTTAGGCTGAGCCAGTGAATACACTTACATGCTGGTCAATGTAGCCCAATTTTTTTCAATGGAGCAAAATGAAAAGACAAATGCAAAATGAGTATTTTCTAATCTGGAGTGTTTTCCTGGTTAAAGCGAATTCAATTTACTCTGGAAACTTCAAATATTCTGAGACTTCCACTCTGAAGCTCGCTGTGTTAAACTGATGCATAAATAACAGATACTGTGAGCGATGCAGAGGGCTCAGCAAAGATTGTAGCATTGTCAGTAGTTATTTACCATAACATATACAACAACATAAAGGTATATGGGCCTATATTTTTTTCAGAAGGTGACTAGTGATTTTGAATGACCCACTTGAGACATTTTAGTAAGGT